TCGGATGCCGCCAACCATTCCTAAAAACGAACTCCTTGTAGTCCACTGCCAAACCCGCTGTCTTGCGGTCAGGTGTTTGAACCAAAGGCTTTGATTGAGAACCTTAATCATTCTCCTGTTTAGGTGTGGGCAGTCTGACACTATCCTGCCATCATTTTCCGTTTCCCGATTCATGTGTTCAACAAACTGGCTGCGATTCAAGTTGCGCCGCGGACCAAGGAGTTCAATCTATGGCTCTCCTTCGTCCCCGATCCTCCTTCCGTCTGGTGTGCTTCAATATTCGGACACTCATGCAGATTAGACAGCAAGCCGGTCTAGCGCGCACCCTAGAGTCCTTAGACATTGATGTCTGCTGCCTTTCAGAAACCCGATTGCAAGGTCCCAGCACTGTGCTTTCATTGACATCCCCACTGACCACGAAGCCAGATATCACCTGCGTCTTTCTGGAGATCCAGAAGCAACTTTCGTTGGTTAGGCTGGTGTAGGTATAGCACTGAATGGCAAGGCCGAGGCGGCACTACTGGACTGGTTCTCGACTAACAGCCAACTCTGTGGCAACATCGAGGTAATAGTAATGACGTTCGACGTCGCATCTTAGGGAATGCGGGTATTCCCCTCAACAAACTGGTTTTGTTGCGCAAGTTAAAATGGCTTGGTCACGTCCTACGCATGGCACCTGAGCGTCTACCGTGTCGCGCTCTATTCGCTCGTCAACGACCTGGCTGGAGGCGACCGCGTGGTGGTCAGTCTTCCACTTAGCGACAGCATGTGAAATCGCTGACGTCGTGTCTAGCTGCTGTTGGACCCGTATCTCTTCCAGGATGGGGACCCAAAACGAGGAGTGCCAATCGCTTAGGACTCTTGAAGGCATGACCCGCAACCGGAATCAGTGGAAGAATTGTGTACAGAATTGTATTGATTCACATGTTTAATACTTCAAACATTGAAAATGACAAAAAAGAGAAAATTCGGCGTGTGAAAAACAAACTAAAAATGTTTTGTTCTACTTTTTGTCAAAATGTTCCTTTCTTCCTGCGGCATATTAGCTGAAGTGTGTTGCTCACCTTTAACTACTATGTCACGATGGTCATGACACGATGACTCTCTCTTATCCTCTGATCTCCATGGTTTTCTGTTGGCTCTTTGTCTAGTTGTTGGACTGCTGTGATCACTCACTCACACTACCCTCGCAATGCACCGTGACCTTTCCTTCTAACAATCCCTTGATGCTTTGACCACCGCAAAGGATCATCAACGGGGCGTTATTTGCTGCGTCGAGCAGTGTGGATATGGGTTTGGATGTTGCTGCTCAGGCCTTCCTGCTTTCTTATTCCCCCTCCTGCGCTTTTTCAACCTTAGCGTCCCGTTCCAACCTCGCTTTTATCCTCCGTTTAAAACCCCTCAATTCATGGCCTTCTCCACCTTTCTTTGATAGGCGTTTACCTTCTTGTTTCAACTCTTATGCGAACGTGGAGCGTCGTTCCTGCTCCTATCGACAAGTCCATGTCCAAGCAAACACTCAAGCCCAGCTCATCGGCCTCTATTTGGAGCCCTCGATCATTCTTCAGATTGGCATACCTCAATGTGCGCACTTTGCTACAGATCGGCCAACAGGCAGCACTTGCCCGAACATTCGAGACCCTCTCGATCGATATATTCTGCGTAGGAGTGGCATCCTCGCGGTATACCCAGCCCGCTTGCGACTGGTGGTGGTCGCACGGCAGCGAATCGCCGTTACGGCGTACAGCTGACACGTTATTAATATTCGTATTATTATTATTATTATCATCATCAGAGACCCGCCTGCAAGACTCGAACTCTGTACTCACTTTGCGATCCCCTTCAGGTGACACCAGCAGTACTTTCTCATTGCGCCTATACGGTGACGATGCAGCTTCGAGTACCGGCCAAACCGGTGTTCGTATTGCCCTGATTCCCCGGGTTGAAGCTGCTCTGGTCGATTGGATCCTAAACTGAAGCCTGATGTGTGCGGTCCGATTGGCTGGCTCGTTCGAAGCTTCGAAGTCGCGCGCGGCTAATGGGTGTCTATTAGTCATCGCTGCTTGCGCGCCCGCAAACTCTAGCGATGATTCGGTAAAAGACGATTTCTATCGTCAACTGAACGAGCTCCTTCGCCACAGAAGAAACTCGGCCACTGTTGTGCTTGCTGGGGAGCTGAACGCTCAAGTTGACAAATTATCCACTGATAAATTGCATCTGGGCAGGCAACTTAGTGTAGGCTCCCGTAATGATAACGGTGAGCGGTTACTTCATTTGTGTGAAGATATTCGCTTATTTCTTGCGAGCACTAACTTCCAGCACAGCACCCGTCAGAAGGTGACATGGCGCCCACAAGCCATGGACGTAAATCAATCACATCGCTAGCAGTTATCGCTGGAGAGGCTGCGTCCAGAACTGTCGCTCGACAATGACCATGCAGTTGTATGTGCTGATCTGCGGATGCATTTTTGGCGGACGCGCTCGACGACCCTGTGAGCGCATAGACACTAGCCAACTGGCGAAGCCAAATGTTCTGAATGCCTAGCAAACTCCGCTGACATGCCATTTGAGCAAGTGCTCACTGGTCTCCTATTCCTCAGACCTTACTAGCAGCAGGAAAATCCTCATGTGGTAAGTCTAATCCCCAACATGCACATTGGGTCTCTTCGCGGTTTCTGGAACTTCTGGATGCTCGGTAACACATTCCGGCTGGAAGCGAACACAATGAGACTCGCAGAAACCTGCGGGCAAAACTCCGTGCTAGCCTGAAGAGAGGCTGCGAATCTTGTTTTTTCTCATCGTGCTTCAGAGATGGTACTGGCCGCTGCCTTTGGTGACCATCGGAAGTTATTCCGTCTGATACGGCAAACGCGCAGCAGGGGACTTATTGTTAGTGAAACTATACATGACGAGAGTGGACAGTCTATCCACAACTTGTCGAAACGTTTGGAGCGTTATGCTGAGCACTTTGAAAGGCAATTTAATCGATCGGAATCGTTCGATTTCTCGCCGGCCACTGATTTCCGCGCTCTGTGGGCTGTCCCTTTGGACCCGCCCTCGCTCAGAAGTCGAATGTGAGATCGCACTGTTGAAGTTAACTAAAACCGCGGGATCAGATGATTTCTACGAGTTACTAGCGAAACTGTGGGTGCACGAAACTGTCCCAACCGACTGCAGCCGCTTCGTCATAATCCAAATTTTCAAGGGAGGCTCACGATCGGAATGCGGCAACCATAGAGGAATCAGTCTGCTCTCCATCGCCTCCCAATTGCTTGCCTCTATCATCCTTTACAGACTGACTGGCACTCGTGAAAGCCATATTCGTGAAGAGCAAGCCAGATTTCGTCGAGGTCGTGGCTGCAGTGACCACATTTTCACTTTGCGTCAGCTGTTGGAGCACCGCCACTGTTGTCGTGTTCCTCGATATCCAAGGTGTATTCGATTCGGTGGATAGACGTGCACTTTTGGACTGTCTACTCAGGAAAGGTGTGTCCGTGCATTATGCGCACGTAGCTCAGGCAGAGTGAGGTCTTACGGCAAGCTGTTGTCTCCAGCGGTGTGAGACAAGGATGCTCGTTGCCACCCTTTCTCTTCAACTTCGCTTTTGACGAAGTCATGGAAGTCGCGTTCATAAGACACGACTTTAGTAGGCTTGGAGCTGCTCTCAGGCGAACGATATCTGGACTTTGAATATGTTGGCGTGATTGCCTTAATCTGTGACAGCTTACAAACATGCCAAGCGGCACTGGACAGATTAAAATTGGCTGTCAGTCACGTCGTGCTTTGCTTCCCACTCTCGAAGTGCAAAGCTTTTCATCAATATTGGCAGGGACCGACTCCTATTTGGGATCAACTGGAAGTGGTTCAACAATTCAACTACCTGGGAAGTTGTATCAGCGTCTTTGGGGTCGAAAACGAGGTAACGAACCGTATAGCAAAAGCTTGAGACCGGTTAACTAAAGCTCATTTTCGCGGCCAGCGCAGTCTGCTTCGACTACTTACTTTTATTTACCTTACAAACTATTCGCGATTAAAAATGAGCGGTTTTAGTGGTGTCTATCATGAACCTGACGCCGAAATCTCCCTCCCTATTCTTTTTATTATTAACTTTGTTTCTCAGAAACTTTCAGTGCGAAGTATCCTTACATCAGAACACTTTCTGCTACCTGCTGACATTGTAGCCATCTTAGCAAATTCGGTACTTCATCAGAATAGCTAGTCAAGTCCTTGTCTTACAAATCGAGTGTGCACCAGCTGGTAGTCATTCTACGCCATCTTCACGTGCTCTTTGATCCGACCTGCTAAAGAAACTGGTCGGAAGTTTTAGTCTGGTTGGCGCGTACTTCTTCCTGGCTAGGGACCTAGAACTCCATCATATCAGTGACTTAAATTTCTACTCATCCTAGCTTAACCGTAAGATCAACGTTGCTTTTGCATTCTGCTCCATGTTTCCAGTTGTTACTAACAACCGATGGTTGCAACATGGAATTTTCCATCCTTTTCTAACTTTGTTTTTTATCCATTTTTGCATGATTACTGAGCTTTGTTAACAGACTGCCGCGAAAAGCGGTAACTATTCACGGCATCTCGACATCGGCATCCGATTTCCTGACTGATCTGAGTTGATCCGCCTGGTTCACGCCTGAGAAAACCTGGCATAGTGTCCAATAAATGACAGAGCGGTTCATGCACTGTTTGTAATCCCACAGTTCACCTGTTCTAGATTGCAGGTGTTCACGACCTTCCAGCCCAAACACATCTACCGGTGATAGCTGCGTGGCAGCAAAACATCTGTATAAGGCCCCGACCCGATGAAGTCGTTACCTTGCGTATTGTTGACCCTTTCAACCTATTTTGGTCTCAGCTGTTTATTCATTAAGTTACTTGTCCTCACATTTTTCCACTGGTCTTACTTTCTTCCGCTTCGTTATATCTCATCTACTTCCCTTTGTCCACGTGTCAAACATTCCCTTTCATTGATTGTTTCTTCCTACTCAAAGGGCCTAGAACGTGGCAAGGAGTTCGATCCATTGAATACGACACGACAAAGTACAGCGATTTCCTCGGCAGAGGACACGGATGGTTATGTTCTCGCTCGAAAGCCCACCTCGGCAACCAACAACGATGCGTCCATGTATGGTGTAAGTTGTCTCACCCCAGTTGATAGTTGCACTTTTTTCTTATTCCGTTGGCACCGAGCCATCTCATCTCATCCAAGTGTTGCTTGTCATAAACCTTTTTTCCCTGATCACCTCGCTCTTAGCAATCTCTACACTTAATGTCAAGCGTCTTGGATACCAAAGTTTAAACCTCCAAACATCAGTCTACCGAGGTCCGGAAATGGGTCCTTCTTTAGATTTAGAACAATAGTGTATTACTGGTTAAAAAACATATGCTTAACAAGTCCCTGGCGATGGCCAGAATGAGAACCGTGGAAAGAGTTTTGGTGGACTCACCATAGTCTTTACACAAAGCATGCATAAAAAGCCAACTTCGATTGCCTGGATTAATCAGGGTTGTGTAATCTGCACCATATTATATCGATGTGCACAGGCTATCTCGTAATGTAGGTGGCTTAGGGCAACCTCAAGGCGTTTTTATACACTGATATTGTGGGGGGAGGGAGCGTTCCCTGGCTGACGAACACGAAGAAAGTAAAAGTTTCGCCGGCATTCTATCCAACTGTACTGCTTATCCAACTTGAGTTTGTGGTCTCTCACCTTTGTTGTTGTGGCTGCGTTGCAGTAGGTGGCGACGGACGTGATTGGGGTCCCTCAAAATCTAGTAGGCCATTATTAGGTCGCCACATAAGCGCCAGTATCAATCGCTGTACAATCTTAGGATCTTCAGCCTGAGTTGATATGGGAGGTGAAATAACCCTTCGACACGAAGCAGATATATCTTGCGTATTGCCTTTCCGGTTCCGAATTTATTTGATCACATGAGATAGAAATAACTGAAACTCGAACCCCGGGTCCCTTGGGATATTAGCCGAAACCTCTACTTATTTGGTCACCGGCTCACAACATGCAACGTTTGGCACAATTGTTAATGACTGATTGGGGGGGTCGTTTTGAAGCATTCGTGCATCCAGTAGTTGATAGGACTACTGGTAAAACCACAGACCAGGGTCGCAGATTTGTGCTTGGCGCTGCAGATGTGCGTTTCAACTTCCGAACATGAAGTGTTCTTGCGATTTGAGGCCAACGCGTCCTGAAAGGCACTGAGAACGCTTGTGGCAGAAAGCTTAGCCACGTCAAATCGTTTCCGACTACGCTGTTGGTAGCCACCGAAATATAGAGTGATCTTTGCACACACACACACACACACAAGCGTGGGATCCGAAGTGAGGCAAGTACTCCAGATTGATTTGCAGTCCTGTATGCAGCCCCGCCAACGATGACTGATGATGATGATGTGGTCGATTTGTGTCAACGATTTGCCAGGTGATGGGAGCTCCAGGTTGCGCCAGAGTCACCGAAAGCTAATGCTCAACAGGTCGAGACCGTGCTCGCGTACCATGATCATGTTGACCACGGGGTTCATGCTCGTCAACTTCAAATCTGCCGACCTGCGCGTTTAAGTCCCCAGTGAGCACCACGATGTCCGTACGGCGCTTTTTCGGATAGGTCGAAGAGTTGATGATAAAATTCTTCTCTGGGCCCCAGTCTGGGGAAGCATACGCTACTAGAACGAACAGGCAACGTCTGCTGGTTCCGCAGCTAAGCAGTCGCACTGAGATTTCAAGTCGGATCGCACAGAGACGACTGTTGACGAGGATCCAGTTTAGTAGCGCGGCCTCAGTACGTGTGCTCAACGCAATCCCCACGCTGGCAACACCAGCGGCTTCGAAGGTTGCGTCCCCAGATAATCACAGTGTAAAAATGCCTGCAGAACTTGCATATAGTGAAACCACTCCTAGCGTCGTGCTAGGATCCTGTAATCGGGTTTTAGTGAAACAGCAGATATCAATGGCAGTAGTCTCAAGCGTGCGAGCAAGACCTCCTTGTGATCCGATTTGCCTCAGCGTCTGAACGTTAATGGTTGCCAGCTTGAATTGGGCACGGGCGCTAGAAAAGACTTGCCAGTACTACTTGGCGGCGCTTTCTCGGACCCAAGTTCCTGATCCGTATGGCTAGAACACTGGCCCAAAGCAGCACGCTGTTATGGACTCGGAAACGGAAGCGGATTACCAAGGATGGGGAGTTGAACAAACGCGAAATAAAGTAACTGAACGGTGATACGTTAAACCGCTACATAGCATGTTCGACAACCAGCACATCGGCCGAAGGTAGCATTTTCAGAGAGTAGGTAGAGTAAGCAGAGAGTCGTGGAAACCTCGGTCCATAAGTTATGTAATCATGAAGCTTCCATGTTGTCCAGGCCGAGGAAGAGAGTTGATTTAGAGGACCGCACCCGAGCCTGGCGTCATAAAGACCTAACCTGCAAGGCAGCGGGGCGATTGATGGATATCGCAAAATGGAAGCCAACTACCACGATGGATAATATGGCTTTCGAGTAGGAATAAACAATTCAGACTCCCGAGTGAAGGAGCACGGAGGCCAGGAGAAATTTTCTGGACCACCGAACTCTCCGGTGAGCACAATGGCCGTTGACAGTCAGGTGGCCCATACGTCTCTGTAAAAGCCGGTGGCAATCGAGGTTGTTCATCTGCCCTTCGTTAGTTACTCACCGGTCACATTGGCTTTAAGACAGCATCTTACGGGCTCTTGTAGTGTTTAATGAGAAACTAAGTGACTATCCCAGAACCCTCTATGGCGCCGCCGCTGATTCTCCACGACTGCTTATTCATCTCGCCTGCGAATAGTCGAGACTTACTCACAAGTATCTTCACAAGGAAGGCATTCCCCGAACCGCAACTTGGGGACGCGCCCAGTGAAGAGGTCGATTCACTTCCAGGTGTATGTAAAAGGCAGTCCTCCAACCTATGCTGCGTTCTTCCGGCTACTCACAATTCCAATTGATGGCTTTTGGAATACCCGCCTTGTGCGTGTCTAGATTTTGACACGCAATCTCACTTTGGACCGCTGCCTAAAGAATCAAAACACGGACCATCTCAACACCAGATTGGTAGCTATATCTAAAATCACATCTTTCCTCCGCCTCAAAAGTGAGAAAAAGCGCATAGAATAACTGCTTCACGCCCTCCGTAGTCATAACGACTTCCGTATTGCACTTCTTTCGCGTATACCCTCATTCCTTCGACACCTGTTTAGTGTCGCCCGTCTTCGACACCCAACCGACAGCACAAAGAATTGTTTGTTGTGTTCTCTTGACCTCACCGAAACGGCACCACGTATGTACTATTTCCACATTGGTGATTCCCCTTGGGGTCACCTAACACGTGCCCCGTCCTCACCTCTTGGCCGGTTGCCGAAAAGATTGCGCGCCTGCTTCCTAATCCGGAAGTCACCGATTCGATTCCGCCTAGATGCGGGTGAACCCGCGGTATACTCAACCAAGGCGCGACCGGTGATAGTCGTGCGACAGCGAAATGACGGTGCAGTATGCCGGCGGATTGTTGATGTCAGTGCGCTGCAGCGAATCAATTAACGCTCCTCCGCTTCATCAGCTATCGAAAACAAGTCCGCTTCACTGGTGATTTGGGAATGAACCTCGCATTCTCACCCATTCTTGCCTTTTTCCTTCGTTTTCGCTCCTCAATCCCATAAAGTTTATTAACGGTGCTTTGATTGATATAGCACAGCTACCAACAGAATATTACAGGCATCTTTTACTTACGAATAACCTCACATATTGTCTAGTTTTCCTTGGACGTTTACTGTTTTGAGTGTATACTCTATGCTTATCATCCAGCGATACTTTATATATTCTCTCCAGACAGCAATCTCCTCCTTTAACCCGTCCCAATTGTCTGATGATTGGAGAAGCCGAAAGGGCAGTCCCACCCCCGATTTTCCCTCGGTTGGTGTCGGTAAAACAGAGCTATCGCGGTCCATGACTCCGTCTAACGTGCATGCTCCACCAGTGCAAGACAATGCTTCTCATCAACCTAGGCCGAATTCTGTGCTGTCCGGTGTGCCGGTACCTCCCGGTCCCTATGCTCAACCGTTATCAACTTCATCATCATCCACTGCACCGCCGTACTTCACGGCGCCCAGCGACTCTTCGTCATCACAGTTCTCTAACTTTTCAAAGGATCAGACCAAGCCAACACCTCCGGCTCCCTTTACAGGCACTGTGGGACAGTCACAACCCCTATTCGCCCCTGGAACAAATTTCTCCGTTGGTGGTGACCTGAACACCCATTCATCTTTACAGTCAGCGACTACCATCAGCCAACCACCGATGCCTCCGCATCCCACTGCACTGTCGGATATTGGAGTGAGTCCACTTTAGCTGTCCTGCAACATCATTTTCGCATCAATTATCTCGAAACAGCCCTTACCAGCTCATGCTTTTCGCAGTCATTTCCTTTATCATATTGCATTCTCTCATCTTAGGGCGCGCTTGTGGCTTGTGGACCACCTACTATGGGACCATATGGCCGGCACGCCGCCCCTGGTCGTCCAGGCGGTAATCTAGTCGGGCCACCAGCACCGCCACCACCAAATCGTTTCATGTTCTCGCCTTCAACGTACCAACCGCAACAACAACAACAACAGCAACAACCTGATCAAGTAAGTTCATCTTACCTATTCCACGCACTGATAGATGACGTGTAGTGTGCATTGTTATGGTCTTAGCGGAGGTTCGAGTTTCCAACTGGCTCTTAGCTATGCGCCGTTGTGTCCCAGAACACGCGATTACTTTTCTAGTAGAGTGCATTGGTGAATTGAATATCACATCGGGCAAAAAAGGCATGTGCCGAAAGCTCACTACTATCCACAGCTGAAACATGTGTGCGTATATAAGAGAAGAACTTTTCACAGGCGGTGTGTGCTAGTTGGCCACTCGAAGAAAACAATGTCCCGTTTTGCAAAATAAGCACAAATTTCCTAGGTTTGGTGAGAACGTTTCAACTCTGTACATCTCCACTCTAGTCCTTTCCACACTCACCTCGAAGCTCATTGTTGATTCATCTTTTTATTGCACCACAACAACTTCCAACACAGTTTTGTAGCGCCATCTGACTTCGGGTTCTTCGGAACTTTTTTTTCGAGTTAGGTCGGCTCTAACCGTAGCGCACGCACATTCTTTAAATGCTCGCCAATACTATCTACGGAATAGGAGCTCAAATTTTCACCGAAGCGAAAGCGCCTGGCTGTCATATGTGACCAGCAAACAATGACAACGATCTGTGTGTGTATGTGACTTTCTGAGTCATGAAGGAAATATGTGCTCGATCGATTGGTCGTGCACGCTTATGATTGACTCCAGAAGCGAACCCACTGTAGCAATGTGCAAAACTTGTTTCCAAACTTTGTATACACGCCATCTTTGTTTGTAAGCCACTTTTATTGCCCTCTCGATACAATCAGTGTACTGTCTTGATATCCCCCGTGATCGTCCAATGTATAACAGTTGCTGTGATTGTAAAATGTACATAAATTTCATCATCATCATCATCGAACTGGACTTGACCAACCGACGGAAGGACGCTGCGTTTCCGACTCATCGTTTGGGAAGCCTCACTATCCTGGCAAGTAATGGAATGTTGGATCTATTACAGACAAAAATAGGAATATTTAGAAAGATCTGTAGGTTAAAACGGGAAAACCAAAACATGTTTCAAAAAATTACTCTTATCGTTGAGTCCACCGGGGAGTCATGGGCACTCCGTTCGGTTAAGTTGACGGAATAATGCATCATAGTGTTTTTCTAAAGCTTGGATGATGTAGGAGTGGAAATTATAGAAATCGGAAGTGCTTACCACGATTGGAAAACTCAAAAGGTAGTCATTTTTGTCGTCTTTCTGACCGATTATCCTTCATGTGGCCAAATTTAGCTAATGACCTCGCAGGAAGAGGTGGCGGTTGAATTTCAATAGGTGACAGCAAATGAGGTTGGAACCGTTACGGATCTGATGCACCAGAGGGCGTTCATATTGCCCACTATAAACTTCAAGGAACTTAAGTTCAAAACGACTTGCTGCGCACATGGCACGGGTTGGTCGTCCTGCGTTTAACTGTTCGCCGAGCTTCTCAATTGGTATGCAAACGTTTCATCACCACACAAGGTGACTTCCTCAGTGCTTTGCTGAGTCAAATACAATCCGCTGACTTGGTCGTCGATTTGTGATTGATTGGCATGCGACTTTTGAATTGACTCCCTCGATCTGTGCCCCGTGACCATCCGCCTGTCCAAGCCCTCTGATAGACACGGGCGATCCGTGGGATTCTTTTCCCCCGGCTATTGCGGCTGTGTTGTTGACGGATCGTTTCGCTGCTCACGATGGTTCTTAAGTTGTTTTATTTCTCTCCGTCCTAGTGTTTCGTACACTGGGTCAATCTCGACTTGCATGTTTATCGAGTGCTTCGTCGAGTACCATGCTTCGAGGAACTCTATTCATTTTCATGTCTCCTTGTGCTAGGACCTCTGTATGGCTCCAATCAAAGCTATGTCCCTCTTCGCCTGTATGTATTGAAACCAGTGAGAGAGCGTAGTGGTTCTTACAAGCTCTCGTATGCTCTTGTGTTCTTGTAGACAGTTGTCTTCCTGTCTGACCCATATACTTCTTATCGGAATCTTGACACCGTGTCTTGTAAACAATATTTAGTCTTTCGTATGCCTCAAGTCTAGCTTTGGGTTTCGGCAGGGTTCTACTCTGTGTGGTGGTTGGTTTGTGAGCCACTGTAAGACCGTGCTGTTTGAATAATCTTGCCGTCACCTCGGTGATGTTCTTTACATAAGGTAGAACGATTCTCTTTGTTGTCGTTTGAGCCGGCTGGGAAGTCATAGTCTTGTTGTTTATACATCGCCGGACGAAGCTATGTGGATATCTATTTAGGTAAAGTGATCTGAACAGGTATATCTCTTCTTTCAGCTTCGTCTCAATAGTGCTACAACGTGTTTCAATTCTACGCAGCTTATTTTTGTGACATTTCGGATGATTGCTGTAGTAGCTTAGAATCTGGTCGGTGTGTTCCTTTCCCCCCGTCAATCGTTCTGGTGACTAACACATCCAAAAATGGGAGCTGGTCTTCTATCTCCGATCCTATCGTAAATGAATGTCGTCTACGGTGTTATTCAGCAACTCGTATGCAGCCTCTACTTCACTAGGTTCCAGTATCACGAATGTATCATGAACGTACCGGATCCACAAATTTGGGTTGATTATGGGCAATACGTCCTCTTTAAGTTTCTGCATTACTATTTCTGAAACGAGTCCTGACACTGGGGAGTCCATCTGGGCTCGTTTCACCTGCTCATAGAGCTGTCCATCAAAAGCGAAGCAGTTCGCGAGGCATAGGTCAAATAGCTCGCACAGATTTTCAATCGTCAACTTTCCGATTGTTTTCTCACTTTAGTCCAGCCATTCGATGATTGCTTGCTTTGCGGTCTGCGAGTTGACAGACGTAAAGCGTGCAGTCACGTCGAACGATACCATTATTTCGTCATGATCTACTCTTATACCTTTGAGCTTCTCCATAAAGTGTTGTGCACTATGTATAGAGTGATGTGATCCAATTGTTAGGTGCTTGAGATGTCTCCACAGCTCTCTTGCTAGTTTGTGCGTAGGTGTACCTGAGAGCGATGCGATTGGTCTTAGTGGTGCACCATCTTCATGTGTTTTTGGAAGCCCGTGGAGTTGCGCTATCTTCGGATCGAGGGCCATCATTCAGCCACGGTCCTCCTTCGTGATCTGGTTCCGTTCCTGGAGCAATTTCAACATTCTGTTTAGTCTGTTTGTCATTTGCGTTGTTGAATTGTTTTCAATGCGGCGGTAGGTTGTTGTGTCGCTCAGAAGCTGTTTTGCGTTTTCGACATAATCCGTTTTATTTAATATAACCGTCACGCGCCCCTTGTCCCCAGGTAAAATGACAATGGATTCATCAGGTTTCAAGGCTTTTATTGCATCCATCTCCTGTAGAGTTAGAGATTTTTGCTGTTTGTTACGTGCTACAAGTGGAATAATTGTAGTTATTAACTGTTTCTGCATACAATCGTCAAACCCGCTGGACTGGATTACACTTCGAATCCGAAAAGGAAATCTGCAGTCAAAGCAATCTTGAAATTGTAGTTTAGCCCTTTAGTGAAGACTTGTTTTCTGCTACGGATAGTGGCCTATTGGATAGATTTCGGATCCAGTCCTCGTGATTAGTTTCGCTATTATCGTGAGTCAATTTAAAAACCTGTTCTTTAAAGCCACTTGTTTTCTTCTTTTAGTATTCTCCACTCCGCGTTCTATTGCTAAGTTGAGCTGCTTTGTTAACTGTTGTCCTTTAACTCCAGACAACTAATTCGATGCTCATTGATACATCGCTCGCATTTCCTGATGTAATTGTGGGTGTCGGAGATAGACCAGCTCCCATTTTTGGATGTGTTAGTCACCAGAACGATTGACGCAGGGGAAAGGAACACACACCGACCAGATTCTAAGCTACTACAGCAATCACCCGAAATGTCACAAAAATAAGCTGCGTAGAATTGAAACACATTGCAGCACTATTGAGGCAAAGCCGAAAGAAGAGATATACCCGTTCAGATCATTTCATCTAAATAGATATCCACATAGCTTCGTCCGGCGATGTCTAAACAACAAAACTACGACCTCCCAGTCTGCTCAAACGACAACAAAGAGAATCGTTCTACCTTATGTAAAGAACATCTCCGAGGTGACGGCAAGATTATTCAAACAGCACGGTTTTACAGTGGCTCACAAACTAACCGCCACATAGAGGAGAACTCTGTCGAAACCCAAAGCTAGACTTGAAGCACACGAAAGACGAACTGTTGTTTACAAGATACGGTGTCAAGATTGCGATAAGAACTATGTGGGTCAGAAGGGAAGACAACTGTCTACAAGAATACAAGAGCATAAGAGCTTGTATGAGTTACTACGCTCTCTCGCTGGTTTCAATAATACAGATGAAGAAGGACATCGCTGCGATTGGAACAACGCAGAGTTCCTAACACAGGGGAGACACGAAAAGGAAGAGAGTTCCTCAAGGCATGGTACTCGATGAACATGCACGTCGAGATTGACCCAGTTTACGAAACGCTAAGACGGAGAGAATTAAAACAACTTAAAAGCCGTCGTGAGCAGCTAAACGAGCAGTCAGCAATACAGCTGCAACATCCCGGGCAAAACCATCCCACGGATCGCCCGTGTCTATCAGAGAAGTTGGGCAGGCGGATGGTCACGGGGCACAGATCGAGAAGGTCAATTCAAAAGTCACTTGCTAAGCAATCACAAGTCGACGACGAGGTCAGCGGGTTAGGTTTGACCCAGCAGCGCACTGAGGAAGTCACCTCGTTGGTGATGAAACGTTTGCATACCAACTGCGAAGCTCGGCGAACAGTTGAACCCAGGTACCTTCAGTCTAAGTTAACAAGATTGGTGCATCAAGTCGTTAAAATTTATAGTCCTTCTTCGTTGCATATTCTCAAGAACAGCGAGTTCGTGCTTTTGCCACGGACAACAGACCTTTACAGTGTGTTTTTTACTTGTGGTGTCACATTTGTGGATATTTGCGAATGTATTGTATGGTCTAACTGGCCAAACATCCTCCACAAAGGGCCTATGTGCCGATGGGCTATTCTCACTGCTTTTTATGTCTTGAACAACCGAGATCATTTTGTACGAACGCTCTGTGATTAACTGAAATGAAACTGCACTGGAATTGCTGCTGCTTGAGGCGATACTCGTGGTGTTCTTTCGGATTATGCTCAACAGTTCACATTTGGCCACGTGAATGTGATATCTGCGACGCAACCACTGATCGACTTGCTCACTTTAGTCATTGACTACTTTTACGTACGCGCTTATATCATCATACACCTGAGTGGAGAGTTGTGCCAATCACTTGCTAGCATACAGCTTGCGTGCTACCGAAGCTGATGTGTTCTCTTGTCTTTGGCTTATTCAGCTACGACCTAGCTGCTATTTTACTGTGAGCGCTTTGGTGGCTTATGCTAAGTACTCCACATTTCGCCGTTTGCCGAATACCCTTTCCTTATGATTCAGAGGCTACCGGTTCGAATCCGCGTAGGTGCGAACGACCTCGCGGTGTACAGCCCACGTGCAACTGTTGGTGGTCGCGTGATAGCAAAGCGTCGGTGCAGTGTGTGATGACGTACTGCGGATGCCTTTTTGCCACCTTAAATCAGGGCGTGTTCTGAGGCAACCACTCATACACCCTGTGGTGATCGTCTTCTGTTCTGCGTCACACTCTACTGTCCTAACAACCAGCCGTATCCTGTGATCACTCTCTTGCGATCGTTTATGATAACCAGCAACAGTTGTAGTCCAAGTACCGGGCTTTGTGTGTCACCAGGAACCCTCACAATCAAGTGACGTTTGGAGAGGAGGATACTTGTTCATCCCAGAACAGTATCGCCGATCCCACAATTCTGAAGCTTTTGAAAAAGAACACGATGATCCAGACGACTAAAATTCCCCGATTAGTTCAGGTAGGTGGTGTCGGTTTCTTCATCAGCGTCGGTAAATTCCATTCGGCTTGCGTGCGCTATCATAGTTTGCGGCGCATGAGCAGTTTTGGTTGAATGTTTGCTGCTGCGTCACATTGACGTTGCATCTCCCCAACCACTACACGAGTACTCCTCTAGTGCTAGTTCCTATAACTAGAAACCATCGAAAGGGCACAGTACGCCTGCCTTCCCTTTAAGCGAGAGTGAGTGTTCCATGCTTCCACGTCGTGTCGACCTGTATCACTTTACGAACATTGCCACAAAAAAGCGAGTAAGCGATTCAGCCATGCTCATAACGGTCATCTCTAATGACTTCGTAGGTATGTCCTCTGTATCAGAAGTTTACTCATTCAAAAGCATCGTCTCTTCAGTATATTTGCTGTCGTGACAGAGAAGGGGCTAAATCCTGACACTACAGTCGTTACCAGTTGGGATAGGGGACTTTCTCCCACTCTTTTCCTCAAGCGACGCCTACGTGTCTGAGTTTACCTAAATCAAGATTCTTTTCTATACACCTTGCGATTCATTCAATACTCATTCAACCCGAGGCATTTGGACCATCCTGATAGCTTTAGGCACAACCATAAGATTGCAAACAGTTCCGTCCTAACCACCTTTCGTCACCACCCTCAAAAAGCTCTAAATGACCGTTTTGTCCGATTGGGATCATTCGGCACTAACTACATATGAACTGGGCTGACTGCTTACAGTATTGTCGACCGCACTGCCCCCAACTCATTGTTTCCCGTCGACATTCAGTCTAACGTTTTTCCCAACGCTATCTTGTTCTTGCTCATGTTGCATCTGATTTCTCCCAACCAGGATAGTGCCTTATTCCTCTGTTTTAAAATATCCACCTGCGAGCAAACACTATGTTTCATATTGCTGTTGCATTATTGCTTCCTGCCTGCGCCATTTTTTCCTTTCCTTATCCTTCACGCCCAATGCTCCTGTTTATTTTCTTTTAAAGAGCGCTTTCGGCCGCGCTACTCAACACTCCGGATTTAGTGCAGCTCCGGGGATGCCACCCATACCACCGGGGCAATCACAAGTCCGCCCAGGGTTTCAGACCACGCAACCGATGCCGTCTGTGTATTCTCCATCCAACCAGAGCTTTCCTCACTCCGGCCCCCCAATGCCCCCGATGAATATGGCGGCGGTCCCTACTATGCCATCTGCGGTACCGAAATTGGGCGGTCCGGAGCAGTCATTCTACACCCCATCTCCGGGCGGCTACCCTCCTCGTTGAGCAACCAACAGCAGACAAATTATTCTGTGCTTCCGTCCGAGCTACAATTCTTTCGTGATTTCTCCCTCATCACGTAAAACATTACTTTAACATGCCCGGCTCCTGCATCGAACCTTCCTGTTCGGTCTTTTCTTCTGACCTTTGTCAGTTCACTTGGTGATTGTACCGCGAACAGCTTTTCTTCACTACAGTCTGGTGGTCGTATTATGAATTGCGTTGGTTTTGTCATTTCCTTGGTCAGGGAATTCGCGCACTGCAAAGCGACGTGGTACTGGGTCACGCTGAAACTCTCATCAGCTGGGTTTGCTTAGTATTCATCTACTTGAACCATTTCTTTTCATTATAGACCTTAACTTGTGTTTTCTGTTGAAACTTTGATACAACCCTTAGCCCGGTTGAATAGTGTGGCTTTACGACCAATTATGGACGGGCCGGAATTAATGATTTTGTATTGCTTTTATTGTTGGAGCATGTTGCATTCTAACCTGGCTCCTCAACGCAATTGATACGACATCTGACCTGCGATGTTCCGGATTTCAAGTCGATCTTGCCTTTGGCTTTTTCGAGAATCCCTTGATCTTTCGTCCTTCTAGCTTGCATGGTTCTTGGGTACAATTCAATCCAGTCCTGTTGACCGACTATATCTCGTGCATCGACTTTGCCACTTCGGTTTGTAGTATCTTCAGGTCTGCATGCAGAACATGATTGGTATGGCATAGCACAAGTGTATTCGCAGTGATTATGTGCGTAGGCAAGTGCTAGGCAGTGATAATCATGCTAGTTCGTTGGAACGGATAGCACTGAATAAGCTGCGTTGGCTTGGGCACCTGCTATGTATGTCAGGTCACGGAAGAGGGCCTTGTTTCGTTTGCCAGATGTAGTGGGGTGCAGGACTCTAGGTGGGCGACCGTTAACTTGGCAGCGGGAAATAAAGTCACTGACTACGGAATTGGATGCTGTTGGCCCGTCTAGCCTTGTGCTTGGCTCGAAACGTTACAGGAAATAGCTCTCATTCTGAATCAGTGACGCGTCTGCTGTCGTCTCCTAGTTGGACCACCTGTTTAAAGTGGGTTGTTTGTTGCTACGTTGTCTACGGAGTAACGGCTGATTGTGATGCGGGGCAGTGAAGGCCGCAAAGAAGTTATCTCCCCGATTCCGTTTTACCTTTGAACGATAGCTAGCCATTTGTAGCTGTATGTTGTTGACAAGGTGTAGGCGCTTGACTCCGAATGTTAGCTTAGGGTATTAAGGTTCTATTCTGGCTCCACTTTCTCTCTCTCTCCTGTTATTCTACGTTCCGTAGGTCATTCTGATTGTACGGCAGCGAAACATTCGTTCAAGTGGCTGCTGTACTACTATTGATGATGATGTTGCCGGCGTATGTTCAAAATTTGCATTTCTCAACTTTGACTAGGGCCGGTTCTCGAATGATCACGTATTTGGTCCTGTCGAGATCGCTTTGCAGTGTCGTATGATCGTCCACTGTCTTGACGTCATGCCAGATTTTGCGATCGTTTGCAGATACAGGAAAATCTCGGAAGTTGAACACCTCTCTAAGTTGACCGGTTTTTTCCTTGTTTAAACATTATGTATCCGGACCTCTGTATGTTGATCACCTCACTGTACTGACCACTGGTCAACTTACGGAGGTTCCACTGTGGTAAGAAGTTCGAATAGAGTACATTGTTGAGATCGTTGATAAGAACTAGAAGTAAGCATGGTCCCAACGCTGCCTATCCTTTTAGTACACCACACCGGACCTCACTTGATCGGAGATGACGCTGCGGACTCTGCCATTCAGCGGACCTTGAATGAGGAGAGTGTCCATCCAACCCAGCATGTCACCGTATTCGACTGCACCCACCGCCTAATCTTCGAATCGTGATCTGCTTGCTCTCGTCCACCCGAACTACAGTTCCCTTTAACGTTTCGATTGTCGGCCGGTGGCCGAAAGGACTGCACCCCTTGCTTTGTAATCCCCAGGTCGCCGGTTCTAATCCGCAGTTTACCCAACTGGTGGTGGTCGCGTGGCAGCAAAATGAAGTACCGTATGTCGGCATATTACTGACGCCACTCCAATATGGTACCATAAGATCTGTCGCCAAACACGCAGGCGATTATGCTCCGTAATCCCTTATTCAGTTCTGCAAACAGATAGGAGCACACGTAACAACAGCAGCACATCAGCCATGTGAACCGATACTTCGCCGCCGCACAGTCAACAACAATCTACGGAACGAAGAATAACAAAATGGAAAGTAGCGGGACCTGGAGTGAAACTTTAATGCCCTAACCTAACATTCAGGATCATGGTGCCTACATCTTTTTGACAACATACCGTCACAAACCACTGGCTATCGTGCAGAGTTAACGCGACATCGGCGAGATAGCTTCTTTGTGGCTTTCACTGTCCCGTAGACAATTCGGCCCCAAACACACTTTAAACTGGCATTCCGACTAGGAGACGACAGCAGACATGCCACGGTGCCGATTGTGAGCCATGTTCTGTGACGTTTCTAGCCAAGCACAAGGTGGGTCATTTGTCCTCTATTCTGGGAGGCAAAACGTACCAAAAGTACCCAGTTTTGTACTCAGTTACTTTATTTCTTACTGCCGAGTTAACCTCCTCCCTCGAGCGCTGCACCATCCTACATCCATAAAACAAAACAAGGCCTCCCTCAGTGGGTGATGACCGGTCATAGTATGTGCTCAGGGCAATGCAACTTATCCGGTGCTATCTGTTATACTAAAGAACTAATCTGGTAATCACTACCTAGCACTCTCCCATGCACAATATCACGGAACACGCTTGTGCCATCCAGCACCAACCATGCTCTGCAAACATGGACAATCAAAGACTTGATGGCACCTCAAACTTAAGGGGACAAATCTCAATACAATAGAGTAGGATGGCCCCTACTGTTGCCTCGTACACACAGACTTTCAGATCGAGGAACACTCCATTCTAATGCTACGGATGTCACAAATTCAGAAACGCTTATAGCTTTTCCTATACGTGAACTGACTCCAGTATTTATGTGTCCATCAATGCTGATGCTTCCAAGGCAAGCGAATTGATTACAGTTAACAGTAGTAGTAGGCGGAGTTGAATGGGATGAGTAGAAGTTCATCACATCCAGGCTCATACAGACAAGTATCACGCGCTCAGAATAGCACTGCATGGCCGTTTCATCATTTCGGGAATCCTCAGCAGTGCGCATTTCATCCGGTTCCTATGGAGTTATATCCCCAGCCCAACTGTTACCATTCCGTCGCTAAGACAACTGGACTACGGTGGACGGTAATGACTGACGTGACTAAGCTACTAGATGTGGGGCAGTACCGTTCGTTATCCACTGTCTTACTCGTTACTGCGATACAGAGGACAGGGTATCCCTTTACTTCTAGTTCTTCGCAATCGAGTGTCATCAAGTGGCTACAACAACACGGCAGCGACCATTGTGCCTAACTTACTAGATGTGATATGGCGTTTGGTAAGGGGGTTACCGTGTCCTCTCCTCAGCAGTGATCTGCAAGTCACTGAATAGTAAGCGGCACTACAATACATTTAGTAACTTAGTCACAACGGTCCCTGCCGTCCCCCGTAGCTCAGTGGTTTCAACAACAGACGGGCGACAGTCGAGTTGCGGATTCGAGCCCTACAATGATCAAATGGAATGCGCACTACTGTCGATTCTCGAAAGGATGGGATGGCCGTACAGTACTTTTCCGAGCATGTGATGGCTGTCTCTAACTGATTTTAGATGTGGTGGGCTTCTGCCTATACCACAAATAAGTGTTATTGCACCGCTAGGTTTGTGATCCTGCACCAAGTTCGAAAGTTGCGGTTTTATTCCAACCTAGACAGGCCAGACTCTCGAGTTACTGTTTACTGTATTTACCAGTTTCACTTGAAAATGGATGACATGAGAAGTTCCAAGTACGGCACTCGAGTGCGAATGCGAAAATTAGGAACGTACGGGCGCCTGACATTTACAAGAAAATACTGTTCAGGGCAAAAATAGCAGGATATTCCGATTTGTCTCCATCAACCTTAAATATGTGCTATTACGCTGTCGAGCTTGGGATTTTGCACCAAGTTAAAGAGTTGCCGTTCATATCCAACCTAGACAGGCCAGACTCTCGAGTTACCGTCTCATGCATCTATCTGGTTCATTGTACTTGCGGTAGCGAGCACTGGCCAAACTGAGCACAGACTGTCCACAATGTTTTCAGAGCGCATTCCGCGAAATTTGGTCGCAAATGGTCCGAAACTGTCCTCCCGACACACTTGACCGCCTCATATGTGAAAACTCTTGTGAATCACTTAGGATAATCAACCGACAGAGCGCCGCTCGTCTACTTCCGTTTGCTGAGGCTTCGACAATTATGCGGATGAAACCAGCTCTGCTTAAACAGACTGAGTTCATCGCCTTGCTGGGACTAGTGACCACATTCTTCTAAGCGGAATGCCGGCGAGCGTCAGATGAACTTCGCCAGCCTTCTATTCACCAATGACGTTACATCTTGATTGTCTCTGTGTGCAACCCAGCCATTCCATTAATTGTATGTAAACAGCTGACGAGAATGCACGAATTATGCGGATTTTATGTATCCTGTCAAAGTGTTTTTCGTTCTTGCCATTTTGAAATTTCTTGAAGTAAATTTGTGTGTGATACCTCCCTGGTTTACGCTGCCTGTCTCCATCCTTCTTGTATGTTACCACTAGGATCTATTCACTCTAGTTAAGTGGAGTCGTCTCTTCCTTCCAGAACTGTACGAACATGTAGGCCAGTACTTGACAAGGGACGTCACCGCCTCCCTTAACTAGTGTGAGCTCAAGAAATCCGTACCAGCAGCTCGAAAACGACTGATAGTTGTGATCGCATTTCGGACCTCAGCCTACGATTGAGCCTCTAAACCAAGGGTGTCCAAACTTTTTGCGAGTGCCACATTTTGTAAAAATATGTGCCATATTTGGTCTGACATTAAGATGATAACAAAAAATTACACATGTACAAAAAAATCCAAGCCTGAATTTATATTTTTATGATGAGGCCGCGAGCCAGTTGAAATGTTAACGCGGGCCGGACTTTGGACATCCCTGCTCTTAAGTAACCGATCACGGTTCAACCTGCACCACTTGAACAGGTAGATATTCGGGAGCAGAGGACCTACTAAATTGTTTTCGAAAATGCTTCAGGGCGACCGTGCTGTCTCGGATTGTCTTACTGGCGCCTTGGTTCTTGGGACCAGTGGTGCGGATCGGTTGGAAGGACTTTCGATAATTGCCTGCTACTTCTGACTCCTCCATTTATTGAGTCCTAATGGTCCACCAGGCTTCCTTGTCAACTCGCAGGCTTCGCTTTTGTTCGCTCCTAATAGTTCGTCTGGTTACATTGTGTTTCAGATCCAGCCTTTAGTTTTCTTCTGGATTCCAACAGGTTCATTGACCTCCCGGATAAATCGGTGACAGGTACCGTGACGACTGGTAGTAC